CGAAGTCCCAACCAGGGCCAGCGTCCTCGGGCGCCGGGCACATCGACACGAGGAGATGCAGGTGAGAACGGAGAGCACTGCGCTGCGGAGATGGAGATGAACCAAAGACCCTTTCGTAACAGCTTGGCACAGGAATAGTTTCAGCTTCCAAAGAACACATCTACAAGGTTCTGAGGAAAAAATGGGGATGCATGAGCTGATGTCCAATAGCCCCATCATGTGGTTAAACAACCACCACAACAACAACATCCTGCTGCACCCGTAAACATGTACACCAACGATGGCGAAAAAACGAACTACGATGTGGTCGGTGTCCATCCGTGTCAATGGCCAAGTCACTTCGACAGATGGACGCCATCTTGCTATGGCCCGGTCGGCGCGGTGCCGGGAAAATTGGATCGAAAGGCCCAAGGTCAAGAGGGACAATGGTCAGGGTGGAGTACTGAAATGCATGCCATTGCCACATGCAACGGTTGATAGCAGTTGGATGAGAATGTGTTTCTGGTTATGATTCAAGTGGGATTAGGATGGATGTGTAGCTGGTGAGAGGGCTGGAACAAATGGTGTTTGAAGTTCTTCCGGTTTAGCTGGTCGCTTGTTTCCAGCTGGGCGATGCTGACGGTGTTTTCCGCCTGTCTGGCTGATAGCTCGTGGCCAAAGGGAAAGAACACGGTGTTCTTGTTTGACTCAGGTGTAAAGTCGGTTCGTCCCTCTCAGTTGGACTTCGGTGAAGACAGGACTTGGCGCGCAATGGTATGGTTATGAGAAAGGGAGAACATCCATGACATGTCCGCACAATTCGGCATTTCAAGCAACCCTTGGGGCAGGACCTGGAGCCTAGAGCCACAGGTCATGGCAGAGTTCTCGGCAGGTCATGCGGTCCTCGAGGCGACCGTGTCGACTGGGGAGCCAGACTCTTGCATGAAGACTGGGCATCCAGCCCGTCCCATGAAGCGTGAAGCGTTCCGTCCCATGCAGGCCTCACTGTGCCTCTGAAAGCGTTGGAAACCACCTCCCCAGTGGGCCAAACGGTGTTCGGTTCCGTTATGCTTGGGTCGGTGGGCAGGTTCACGCGCACGGCCCGGCCCGGTGTTACGTCCGCAGCAGCAGGTTCTTCAAGGTTCCAGTGCTTTGCCAAGAATCTGTCGCAAAACTCCTAAATTACATATGTGCCACAAAGGTGAGCAAGAAAAGGTTCGAGCATCGTTTTAAAGAACTTATCTGAACACAACTATGATACACATAGCAGACATGAACACAAAGGCTGACGGAACATTATATACAGTGGGCTTCTCATGTTCCAAGTCTCAGAACATCCAGCCAACTGTCGACTCTTCTGCCCGCGCTTCAGCTAGCAGCTAGCAGCCATCTTTTTTGGGCGCAGCACGCGCTGAGGAGCGCCTCACGGCCGTGGAAAGGAACGCCGAGGCATTTGGGAGCTGTGTTCTGTTTTCGGACGAGCAAGTCGGATCATTTGGAGATGGTTTGGGAAGGTCTCTTGACATTTTGACAATGAGAATTTTGGCAAAACAATGTCACCACCCCTGTTTTTCAGGGTCTCAAGGACCAGGGTAGGGTCAAAGAGACGGGCTCCCTCTGGAAATAGCCAAACTACAGGTCTCCAAAGCGAACTGGAGGTGCACTTCTCCATGAACGGTCGTTATGAACTGGCAATCCAACATACAGTCAAGATACTCCAAGCCCAGGGGGTTTTTTGCGACAGTAATTTCAGAACTGTGGCAGAAAACCCTGCTTTCCAGCAGCACCGTCGCAGAAAACACCCCTTGCAGGTAGCACCGTCGCAGAAAACCCCCTTAACTGTGCAACTGCCGCAAACCTTCAGACTGTCATGTAGTAATGTATGTAACAAGTACTTAGACAATATGAGACAAAGCATATCAAACTGTAGGGTTCCTGTTGGAATCTAGTGTTGTTTGGAGGGTATCAGTTGGACGAACCAAGCTTTTGGGACAGTCACAGTGGTCCTGATGCAACCATGAAGATCCTGTCTGTCTAACTGCAATGCCTTTGCAAAACAGTCACCCTGCCAAAAAACTGAACAAACATGAACAAACAATATCAGAATCGAATCATCTGAGTGCCAATACAGGTCTACGAAAATAATCTGATATGCTGATATCCTCCAAAGATCTCCAAATTGAAATCTAGGTCTAGGTCTTCCGTCGTTAACCCGACCACCCGTGCGAAATCCCGCGGTGTTCGTTTCCCGGACTTTGACACTTTGGGAAGTAGATGCGGAAGGCCCTGCAACTGGTGACGGTCAAGCCCGACATGTGACGATATATACCGCGCAGCCGAGGGTGCTGAAAATTCCAAGTTTCACCTCCAAACCAAGGAACTTCTGAGCTTGGTCGACTCATTTTGTTTTGGTCTGACCCTACGACACGCTGGTCTGCGTCGGCCCTGCAACAGGGCCCAGCCCACATGGCTGCCCACCAAGTGACACACGAGAAAAGTTTGGGCTAGTTCAACGACCATCAGGAGCGCCTCCAGTCTTGAAACTCCTCCATGGCATCAAAGACCAGAAGGTACCACCTAGTCAGAGAGTTCTCAAAGACTGCCTGATGAACCTGGTTCGACTGGCAAACATGCGTTGCGCATGGCCAACAAATCATGATGGTCCAAAATGAAGTTTGGTAGGGAGAGCAGAGGATCTTCGATAGAAGGAACATTCAAGTATATTGAAGTGAAGATCAAGCAAAAAACAAGAATCTCACGTCTACTACAGGTCTAAACTGGTGAGGCACTCCATATTATTAAGGGTCTCCTTTATTTGTTGCATAACCAAAAACTGAGATACTGTCAGTGTTTTTTTTCACCTCCCCAATGTTCGCAGATGCAGCTAAGTTTTCTGTCTTCTGTTTAGCAGTCGTTTGTGCAGTGTAAGTCTGGCAAAGAAGAATAACCTCATGGATTCCCAACAGGTGAAAGGCTTCATCGCTCCAAAGAACCCTTCAGGGCGAGGGTGGTGACCTCATGCCCCGGACGAGCATGATCTCAAAAGGAATTCCAGGACACACTGTACCCCCTTCAACAAACCATGGAGGTGGACCATCCCTTTTCTTTCCATGCTACCTATTTTCTTTTTAGGGAGGCTGCTAGACGCAATCGAGTCCTTCCAATTTCCTTATTGTTTTTTCGGCCGGGCTTTGGGGGCGGATCCTCTCGCTCTTCTCCTCCGGTGCCGGGGTCTCCCGACGAAGTCGGCTTCCTTGTCGAAGTCCTGGCGAGTCCGAAGTTCGGACTGGACTCTACCTGGATCACGCCGACCTGGATGTTTGGCGTCTCGGATTCCACCTTCGCGCACCACGAACGAAGGACCGAGAGGGAGCAGTAAGCTATAGTCGTCCCCCATTACATTGGTAGTGGGCCGTGGGGATCTACTTTTCTATCTATTTGGGGATCTAAAAAAATCACTATATAAAACAAAAATCTCACTTAAGAAGATTTTGGGGGGTGCCTTCCCAAAAACAACCTCATGATTTCCAAGGCCCCAGAGAGACCAGGGCCCCACCGGTCCCTCGCCCCGCCCGGCACCGAACAAACCTCTTGGCAGTTCTTGGCTTGGCCACTCTTTTAGGGGCTCATAGGGGGCCCCAAGTTGGGGCCCCATTGGATTCCACTTCCATGAACTTTCGGGGGTGCAGATGGTGGGGATTGCTTGGATGCTGCGCCAGACCGGTTGCCGCTCGGGGCGTTTTTGGGGGGATGTTCCCCGACGAGGAGGATTCCCAACCCACCACCCACGGGTGATTTATATCCCCACAGGGCCATCTTCGAACCCCACGGGGGGCCGATCCGCAACAGCGCGCCTCTATCCACGAGAGGACCTGGAGGATCGCGGCTGGGCTGAGGACTTACAGTCTCAATATTCTGAACATGTGCACAATGCGCACGGTCCCGCCATTCAACATGGAATCAGGATCTCAGGAGTCAACGGAAAACATGGAAGTGCGTCGTGGTGGGCCACACTGGGGAA